ATCCTCCCCCCACCCCCCACCCAGTCCTCCTCCCCACCTCAACCAAAGTTGTAAAGTTCGTTTTTCCACATAATGACTTGTATATCTCATTGTTGCAATGGATCTACCTCTATCCCTATTTAAACTATTTGTTTTTTCCCTTCCCCTCCACACATTATACCAACCTCAAATACAGTGAAAGCAGGGGTTATACTATGGGGGAGGGACATACAAAGCAACAAGGAAATAATATTATAAATGTGTTAGAAACAATCACCTGAAAGAAACATCTGAATACATATCTTAGGATTCTATGCCTCCATCAGAAAGAATGACATTGCCCCATTTGCTAGGAAATGGAAAGACTTGGAAAAAATTAGATTAAGTGAAGTAAGCCAGGCCCAAAGAAACTTAGGTCCCATGGTTTCCCTTATTTGCAATAACTAGTATATGTCTGAGTCAACCAGAAAAGGTCAGATAAGTTGATGTTAGGGAAATGAACCCTAACATGTTTTAACAAAACCATTCATGAGTTTAGAACACTGGCACAATGAGGTCTCCCATCCCTAAAACTCTGCACCTCCTCCAGGCCTTAGGAAAGCAAGCTCCAGTCCCCATTATCACCCAGTACAGAATCTCTTCCTCCTTTAAGTCTCCTGACCATGCTATCTATAAGTGTTAGTCAGTCTTCTCAAGGGCAGTATTTTCCTTTCCTACTGCCATTACCAGTTTATGTTCTTATTACTGTCTGCCTGCTATAGTACTAGAATCACCTCCCTTACCCCTAATCTCTCTGCTCTTATAATCCATCCTATTCAGCACTACTAAGTTAAATATTCTAAAGTCATGCTTTGTCTATGTCACTCTATTCAAAAACTTTACCCAGAGAATAAAATCCTCAGCCTAGAGCATAAACAGAGCCTAGAAGCTGAAGGAAAGTCATTAGAAAATCTAGATGCAGCCTTGCTTGCCCTAAGCAGAAAAAAATACCACCTTGGAAGCACCAACAAAAAAGGGTCAATGTTATGTTCACTATGGGGTTCTAAGTTCACTCAAAATGGAAATGTAGGTTACAAATAACAACGGAGACTTAAATTAAGAAAGATAAAGAGGCCAAACACCAGTAGTAGCTTGTGCCTGTAATCAAGCTACTCAGGAAGCTGAGATCTGAGGATCAATGTTTGAAGCCAGCCCAGTCTGTGAGGCTTTTTTTTTTTTGGTCCATTCTGGGACTTGAACTCTGGGCCTGGGTGCTGTCTCTGAGCTCTTCAGCTTAAGGCTAGTGCTCTACCACTTGAGCCTCAGTGCCACTTCTTGTGTTCTGGTGGTTAATTGGAGATAAGAGTCTCAAGGATTTTCCTGCCTGGGCTGGCTTTGAAACTCGACGCTCAGATCTCAGCCTCCTGAGTAGCTAGGATTACAGCCATGAGCTACCAGCACCAGAATGTGAGATTCCAAATAAAGCCAGAAGAAGAGCTCAAGTGGTAGAGCACCAGCCTTAAGCACAAAAATCACAGGGGAGGAGACAACTAGGTATTGTTAATATTTATTTAAAATGCATAAATAATTATTAGACTTGGTACCTGAAACAAAAGGAACAATAAAATAATGGAGACATGTTTCTTACAAATGGGAGAAAACATACCTGGTAAAGGCAAGCTGCTGTTCCAAGGAAAAATGCAATGATGTAATTAAAATCCTCACCATCACTCTGTAAAAAATGACATAGAAGATTACCTCTTTCCTGGAAGCCTATTTCCAAAAATAATACATCAGGACAGGGCATGGCAATGTTTATTCACAATTTTTTTTACAAAAAAATACAAATACAAAATAAGAGTCAAGGAATGAGAGACCAAGGAAGACTACAAGTGTTCCTGTGTCTTGTAATGCCCCATAAATTTCATTTCATCCAAAAGAAGATGAAAACCACTGGGGAAGTCAGTTCCCTTACAATACACAAACCTCCTCTTGGCACCGAAATGCACAAAGCCCAGAGGCTGATAAAGTTAATCCTGATCAGGAGGGTTTTTGCTTGACTCAAATAAAAACAGACAAACCTTACTATCTAGTAAGCACATCACTGAATTGTCCAGTAAAATAATGTGACATGATTTAAACAAAACAAAGCAAAGCAAAACTGACAAGTGAAAAGCTACTGTCCACTAGAGTGTGCTAAATGCCAATGAGAAAATTCAGGACTAATGGACCGTGCCTGCTGTGCCAGAAAACAGCTACACAGAGGAAACACACAGCTAGATCATGCATGGGGTGTTTCTTTGAAAACAAAAAGAAACATGCAACCGCCCATGTTTTCTTACTTCTTTTTGCTTCCTAGTAAGTATCTACATTCATCAACTTCTTTCAATGTGTTTACCAAGTATAACAAATAAGAACACAGGCAGGAGTATTAAGTGTTTTTCTTTCATGGCCCTCTTATTTATTTTAGGGGAATTTTTTTTTTTTGAGAGAGGGTCTTGCTATGTAGCCCATTACAGCTTCAACTCTCCACCTTCTTGCCTTAGCTCCTCCAGTGCTGGATTATAAGTATGTACTACTACACCTTTATACAATAAAAATTTCCACATGTCACAAGAATAGCTCCCATAACTATGCCTTCAAGAGGTAGTGTACAGAGGTAATTCATTTGGTACAGATGATTAGGTGCAAAACTGTCTGCAAGACAAGGGGAGAGTGGTTTATCCTGGTGAGAAGATCTTAAAATAGGAACATTAATCTGTCTGGGGTGCTCAGGCCAGTTCTACCCCAGAGGCTGGGAAGGCCAATATGAAATCTCTCCACTTTATAATTTTAACCTTTCTGCTAGCATTTAAGTATGTTCTAGTTAATTGCTGTTTTAGTCCTTTATTTTTAGATTACTTTTTTCCTGATTATAAAAACATATTCATTATAGAGAAAGTGGAAAATACCGACTATACAAAGAAATTCACATAGGAATTCATCTAGGAAAACTATTAACATTTTCATGTATTTCCTATTGTTCTTCCTCCTCCTCCTTTTTCTCCTCCCTCTTTTTCTCCCTCCCTCCATTCCTCCCTCTGTGTGTACATCTGAAAAGAAATGCAATGACATATATATGTTGCTTAGTAGTATTTCACATTACACTATAAACCTTTCCCGTTAGAAAATAGTTCTTAATCACAGAATGTGTAAATGGTTGTACAAACTTTCATTGCAAAACACAGTGGAACTTAATAATTGTACCATAATTGGGTATTATTTTTCTCTTAATTTGCATTTAATTGCCTTTTAGAACATGTTAAGAGAGTATTTCTAAAAAGCCAGAAGTGGCGCTGTGGCTCAAGTGGTAGAACGCTAGCCTTGAGCTAAAGAGCTGAGGGACAGCGCCCAGGCTCAGAGTTCAGGCCCCACGATTGGACCAAAAAAAAAAAAAAAAGAGAGTATTTCTAGAGTAAGTCAGACCTGTATTCAAATTTTTATTTATAAGCTACATTATTTTATAATGTTTAATTTTAATTTCTTTTGAAAAATAATTACTTATGCTTTATTTATTTATTTTTTGCCGGTTGTGGGGCCTGAACTCTGGGCCTGGGCGTTGTCCCTCAGCAATTCAGCTCAAGGCTAGGCCTCTACCACTTGGGCCACAGTGCCACTTCTGGTTTTTTCTGCTTATGTGGTACTGAGGAATCGAACCCAGGGCTTCATGCATGCAAGTCAAGCACTCTACCACTGAGCAACCTTTACAGCCCCTACTTATGCTTTATAGTAGTTGTGACAAACATTGTTATAGGCAAAGAATCTTTTAAATGTTGGTGCTGAACAGTCCTTCAGTTTATGGAGTCTAAAAGCTTCATCCTGCAGAATGGGAAGATGAGACCCATAACGGTAAAGGAAACTTCCTAAAGTTACAAAGTCACTGGCAGAGGTAACACACGAATTCCAGTGTCCAGACCAGTATTTATCAGAAGGCTCAATTTTTTGCTGCTTCTAGGCATCAACTTAGATAGTATCGTTGTTTCACAGTCGATCTTTTTTTTTTTTTTTGTCCGTTATGGGGCTTGAACCCTGGGCCTGAGCGCTGTCCCTCAGCTCTTCAGCTCAAGGCTAGTGCTCTACCGCTTGAGCTACAAGGCCACTTCCAGTTTTCTAGTGATTTATTGGAGTTAAGAGTCTCACAGACTTTCCTGCTGGGGCTGGCTTTGAACTGCGATCCTCAAATCTCAGCCTCCTGAGTAGCTACGATTACAGGCGTGAGCCACTGGTGCCTGGCACAGTTGATCTTTAAATGAATAGATTCAATATAAACCAGTGTAATAAAAGTTTATACGTTCACAAGTTGTCAGTCACCATCAGTGTATAAACATCTGTAAACTCAGAACAAAGGAAGTGTAAACAATGTAATTTACACATTACTATGAACACTAAATCAAATATACCAATCTAAAATAAAAACTATACTATAAACTTTTTCAGTCTGAACTAAAATACCAGAGAAAAGTTTCAGTATTACATATTTTAATAAATCCTTGTTATTTCAAGTGGTAGGTATTAATCTATAATAAACTTGTGCCAAATCCTTAACATTAAGTGTTAATTAATGTAGGTCTTCAAATTTAAATGTACCTCAAGCTTAAAGTTACATATTAGGAGATAAATATAGCAGTCATTCTAAAAGAGTATCTGGCCATATGCCTAAGGCTCACACCCATAATCATAGCTACTCAGGAGGCTGAGATCTGAGGATCATGGATTGAAGCTAGTCCAGGCAGGAAAATCCGTGAGACTCTTATCTCCAATAAATTACTCAGAAAGAGCTGAAAGAGGTGCTGTGGCTCAAGTGGCAGAGCACTAGCCTTGAGCCAAAGAAACTCAGGGACTGTGCCCAGGCCCAGAGTTCTAGCCCCGAGACCAGAAAAAAAAAAAAAAGAGTATTTAGAATTCAAGGTCTTAGAAAAGTAAACTTTAAATTATTATCTGTTTATTAGTAATACTCAGTAAATATGCCATGTATTTTTAGCTAGATCTAAAATTATAATGCCAAAATAAATTCTATACTCTTAAATCAAGCCATCAGAGAAATACTGAAACCACTTACTCTGGATACTGACAATCCCCCAACCCCTTTCTTATCACAGTGATAGGCATAGCTATACTGCAGGTAAAGATTCACAACCTATGTTCTAAGATTTGCACAGTTCTACATGGCAGACAGCAATCAAAAAGATCTACTTTTACTGACCACAATTTATCTAGAGTAACTGTAGAATTTATTCTTAACACAAAATATAATGTGCCAGAGAAAAAGCTAAAAATGTCTTAAATCTAATGGTTTTAGTGGAAATTTAAAATGGAAAAAAAAAAGACTGGTTACCCAACATAAGTCGTAAGGAATAATAAACTTAAAACGTAGGAAAATTAAAAGCAAGAGACCTCAGGTCAAAGATTTTGTAGGCATCTTTTCTGGTTAACTAGGATTAAGATATACTTGTTGAAAATACTCTAGTTTATACTTCTAAACTACTCTGGTTTTTAAAAAACCCCAAGTTTATCATTATGTTTATTTGCATTCTGACATCTCAGCTTTTCCTTTTACCTATCACAGATTCTATCTTTTAGGACATGGAATCTTCTGAAGGCAGATATTTCCAATACTGTATGGTTTTGTCACTTTCACCCTCATAGCAAAACAAGGAAAAATATTTTTAAGAACCAGTCATTTTCAACATTTTTTTCTCTAGGTAGATCAAATCCTCAATAATTGGAGCAACAGGGATATCGACTATTGGTCTAGTAGATTTCTAAAGGCAGAGATCCTCACTTAGGTGAGGGAATCAGAAGTGCTAAAAGTACCTTTGAATGACTCATTACTTGTAAACTACATTGCCTCCAACATTTCATCCTGCTGTTTCTTGCTTTTCTCTAATTAGGAACCTCACTATTTGTATGTAGAACATGTCATTAAGGTAATACTAAGGGACATAGCCAGGTGGAAATGCCTCGTCTTTCAGATAGCTAAGAATCCTACATGAACCAATATATAGATTTCTGGATCAGATTAAAGAAGAAATGCCACTGGAGTACGTTTAGTCTACTGAAAAAGAAATTATTCCTTATCAGCCATTTAAAAAATTAGGGAAGGGGAAACAATGGAGGAGGCTACAATGCTTGCTAAGAAATGTACTCATTATCTTGCCCATGTAATTGTAACCCCTCTGTACAGTATTTTCACAATAAAAAAATTTTGCAAAAAAAATTTAAAAAAAAAATAAATAATTACCTTCAAAGACACAAGCATACATACTGATCAAATTATGAATTGCCAACTATTAAAAAAGGACTACTCCAGGGCTGGGAAGGTGGCTTAGTGGTAGATCGCTTGCCTTGCATGCATGAGGCCCTGAGTTCGATTCCTCAGCATCACATAAGCAAAAAGAAAAAAGCCAGAAGTGGTGTGGCTCAAGTGATAGAGCGCTAGCCTTGAGCTGAAAAGCTGAGGGACAGCGCCCAGGCCCAGAGTTCAGGCCCCACAACCGGACCTCCCCCTCCCCCCCAAAAAAGGACTACTCCAGTGATACTCACTAGACACTATGTTGAACATGAACTGTACAACTTATGGGTGAGGATGGGAAGGGGTGACATTGTCCGAAAAGAAATGTACTCATTACCTGACCTATGTAACTATAACCCTTGTATAATAACAACTTTTTAAAAAATGGAATGGACTACTCC